TGTCTTCTGAATGTATTGAAAGTGTTTTTATATCCACTAGCTCATGTTTTTCTCAAAACTATCTGTAAGGGAGGTAAAGCAGGCACTATTATTCCCAATATTTTTAATTATTATTATTAAATAATTAATTTAATTATTATTTTTAAATATTATTATTTTTTGAGACAGGATCTTACTGTATAGTTTCAGCTGGCCTTGAACTCACTGTGTAGCCCAGGCTGACCTTAAACTCATAGTGATCCTCCTGCCTCAGCCTTCTGTGTGCTTGGGATTACAAGCCTATGACATCACACCTGGTGATATTAGTTTTTAAAATTTCACTAACTTATAAAGGTGAATATTTGGATGCCATAGGTCTCATCAGGAGACATGTGCAGTACAAAAAGATTCATTATAACATCGGTGGAAATTACCTATATTTCCGCTGAGTAGGAGAATGAGTAAATTGTGGCCTATTCACATGGTGAAATAGTATAAAGAAGTGAAAAATGAATTAACAACAGCTATATGCAACAGCATGTGTAAGTCTTAGAGAAATCAAGTTTAGTGAAAAAAGGAAGTTACAGAAAGCTACATAAAAATAATGCTTTTTCAGGATAGGGTCTTGCTATACATAGCTGTTCTCAAACTCATGGCCTCCTGCTTCAGCCTCCCAAGTGCTAGGATCACAGGTGTATGCCACCGTGCCCAGAAAAATAACATTTTTGTAAGATTAGGGGTTGGAATATAGCTCAGTGGTGGAGTACTTCCTAGCATGTGCAGGTCTCTAGGTATAAATCCCAACACCATTTTAAAAATAGCATTTTTATAAAACTAAAAGGCAAGTAGCAAGGCATGGTGGTGCATGCCTCTAATTCCAAAACTTGGGAGGCTGAGGCAGGAGGATCACTTTGAGACTGAAGCCAGCCTGGACTACGTAGTAGGTTCAAAGCTACTGTAATCTACATAGTGAGACCCTGTCCCAAAACCATCCTCCCCCCCAAATTTAAAAAATCAAGTAAAACAAAATGATATGTTGTTCAGATATAATTACATGCCATAATACTGTTTTAAAAAGTAAAGGGCTAGAAGAATTTCAAGAGCAAGGCATATTGGCACACACCTGCAATTTTAGCGACTCATGAGACTAAGGCAGGAGAAATTGGTAAGTTTAGGCCAGCATGGGTAACTTAGTGAGATCTTAGCTCAAAAAAAAATGTGGCTGGAGACTTAACTCAATATTCCTGGGGTTCAACTCTAGCATTGAACAAAATTCAAAATACAGGTTATGGGAAATGGAATAGCTCTTAGATTCTGAAGTGAGATCATGAGTGTTCAACTTAATATTGAATTTCATAAAGTATGTTGCATATATCCTTCTGTGTTTACTACATATTACATTATTTTTATGTCATCTCCCTGACTCTGATGCAGCTTCTATTATCGAGTTCCCATGAGAATGTGGTTAAACAGAGCTCCTCTGACAATTCACGTTGGACATATATGAACAAATAGACCCTTGGTAAATTGCTGAGATTTGGAAAATACTATAGCAAAACCTAGTTTGTCTTTTCTAGAGATTATGAGTGTGTAACAGAAATTCCCCAAACTCATTCACACATACACATAACCCTCAATAGATGCCTTCACGTATCTGCTATTACGTGACCAGAGATTTCCTATTTCTCACAAAAATTAGTTGTAGACGTAAATAGAAGTCAATGTTCTGAGCCCATATTTATAACTAATGTTTATGATCTTAGATATTTTTATTCTTTGTCACTTCTTCCCTCAAATCCATGAAAAAGAACATCTGGCCTCACTTGGCTTACATACCCTCTCTAATGTGTGTGCTGGAGGAGGTGAAGGCTTATGACTGATGGTCACTACACTTTACCTCAAATATGGAGAAGCAATTTCTTTTTTAAATTAGATTTTATCAGTACATTTTATTGTTTTGTTGTTTGTTTGTTTGTTTTTTTGTTTTTGGGACCAGGGATCAAACTCAGGACTGTGTGCTTTGCAAGGCAGGCACTTATGCCGCTGAGCTAAATCCCCAGCCCTATCAGTACATTTTAGATATACATAATAATCACATTTATCATAGAGAATTTGTACCTGTACATGATATAACTTGTTTTTTCCCCATTCCCCTACTCTCCCTCCAACCCTTCCTCCCATCTCTATTTACCCTTCCCCTTTTCCTTGTTCCTATCCCCATTTGAACATTTTCCTATTTCACAATACGTATTATATATTTTTCTCCTTATATATACTTCAAGTTTCTCACACCAGAGAAACAATGCAGTATTTACACATGTGTATCCAATCTATTTCAATTAAAAGTGTGGACCCGAGGTGCATCCATTTCTCTTAGAAATGTCTCAAATATATCCTTTATGGCAGAGTAGTATTCCACTGTATAAAAAAACCCATCTTTATCCATTCACAGTTGATGGCACTTAGGTTGTTTCCAAGACTTGTCTATTATAAACTATGCTGATATAAACATGGGTGTGCAAATGTCACTGTGGTATGATGCTTAATTCTTTTGAGATGATATCCATGAGGGGAATTGCTGGGTCAAATGGAACCTCTAGTCCTATTTTTTGAGAAATCACCACACTGACTTCCACAGTAGTTGCACCAGTCTACACTCCCACCAACAGAAAGAAGTGTTCCTTTTCCCCCACAGCCCCTCCAGCACTTGTTATTGGTTGATTTCTTGATGACAGACATTCTTTCTGGGGTGACATGGAATCTCAATGTTGTTTTAATTTGCATCTTTTGAACGAACAGTGATGCTGAACATTTTTTCATATATCTGTTTGCCATTTGTATTTCTTCATCTAAGAAGTGTATATTCATCTCAGATGCCCATTTTTGGATTGGTTCTTTAAATTTTGGAGGTCTGATTGAGTTCTTGGAGGAGCAATTTCTTAAAGAAAAAAAACTGGGTTTAACTACCAAAAAGAAGAAGGAATCTTGGGCAGGGGGCAGTTATTTATTAAACCAAAACACTTAGATTTAGAACCTGGTTTTATTACCTGTATGTGAACTTGAACAGCACTGCATTAGTTCGCTCATAAGTAGAGTGGGGATACAGTACTTTGCTGTTTGCTTTTATAGTTTCTACACATAAGGGAGAGTGGCTAGGGAGGCCAAGCCTAGCTAATTTCACCCAGAAGTAACTGTACAGCAAGACAAATGCCTGAGTCCTAGTTTCTGACTCTGCTCCAAGCATTTCTCTATTGCTTGAATGTGACTCAGATTTCTTTTCTTTGGTCAGGAGACCAACTTTAAAGCACATTAAAATGAATACAATTCAGAGATGAAATTTTACACTCAACATTCCTATGTTCGTGCCATAAAATTTACAATCTACTTTGTACTGAAGAATTTTTTAAAAGATATTTTTGCTGTCCTTGATTCATTCATTAAACATTTACTTACTATGTGCATGCTGTGCAGCAGGTGCGAAAGACCACAGTGATAGTCAAGTACAAACATGGCTTTCACATTCAATTCAGAAAAAGAGAAGTGTCAGGCTGCTGCAGTGACTACTAGCTGGGAATCAGGAAAAAAATCAAAGACATGAGCTGAATTTTGGGAAAACCTGAGACTGCCATACATGGTAGTTACTGTTAATTATGGGTTGTCTTGTGGTAAAATGCTGTGTTAATTGCATTGTTCTGATCTGATCTGCTTTATTATGTCCTCTTTTGTCTTAATCTCTTTAAAATAAAAAAATTTAAAAAAAGTTGAGACTGCACTGAGGACAAAGGGAAAGAGTTGTTTTAGAAGACAGTGCAAGCGAATGAGAAGATAGTATCAGGTTAAGGTATACAGGAGTATTTTATTATCACTAGGGTGGGGTAGGAGAGGAATGAAATTAGGCTAAAAAAGTGGTCAGAGGCCAGACAATAAAGGGAACATGTAAATTGTTGAGCAATTGTGTGAAGGACAGAATATACTCTGGGAGCTGATTAAGTATGAGAATTAAAGCAATGCTTCTTTGCTGTGGCAACAGAAACACTGAAACAAATCCCAGTATTTATTTAACATTGGACTGGCACTGACAGGGAATCAGTTGTCCCTCAAAATGCCAGGCCTTGTAGATCTAGAGAGGGAGGTTTTTCTAGGGTTACAAAGGGGAGGTACAGAGGTAGAATACTTGGCTGTCTTTGATCAGTTCCTACAATATGCCTAATAGTGACCAGCTATACATCACAGAGACCAATCATTTCTAAGAAACAGAAACTGCAACAGGAATCATCACTTAGGCAACTGAAGTGCATTGACCGGGGCTGGACATTTTTTGCTACACTTTTTCTTGTGCTATAGACTCCTTTAAAAAAATGTAGGCCTTTTAAGTGGAAATAGGTACATTCATTTAGACACAAAGTGTTGCTTACAATTGCCTGGTTAGGAGTAAGAGAGGGGAGCAACTGCAGTAGTCCAGGTGAGATATAATAGGCTTGAACTAGGCTATAGGAGCAGGAATGGGGCAGAGGAGATAGATGTGAGAAACTGGCTAGTTGAATGTAATCAATGGATTTTGTCACCAGTTGAATTTGAGAAAGAAAGAAAGGCACAAGCCTAGGATAATTAAACTCTAGGTAGGTTTGTGGTTTAGGCATTTTGAATAGATAGAAGTGTCATAGAGAGCAGCAGAGTTCAGAAGAAAGGATAAATTTGGTTTGGGAAATGTGTCAAAGTTACCTTTAGAACATCCAAATAAAGAAGTTAACTGGGAAGCTCAACATGTTTTTTATTTTTATTTTTTTCTTACTGGGGATTGAACTTACAACCTTGCACTTGTTAGGAATGCACTTGAGCCTGCTGAGCTAAATCCCTGGCCCAACATTTTGTTAAATAGTTCTTTTACAGGGTCTCTTGTCTTAATATCTTACAAACTTCTAAATCTCTGTGCACCACTTCTGAATTGAGATAATTATGTGTTCTGTTTGCAAAAAGGGATCTAGAGATGGGAGAAGAAATCAAACTTCAGACACCCCAAATTATTGCACAATTTTTTTTTACTAAAAGAATAAACTTTTATTAAGCGCTGTAAGTTTCTTTCCATCAGCATTAACAGAACAACAGACCAAATTCCATCACAGAACAACTCCTGAGACATTCTCATTCCTTTCTGAAACATTTCCATTAAGTCTTGCAGTTTCCACAAAGAAGCACCCATTGAAACTTACGTTAATAAACTATGGAGCTTTTGTTGTGAGGTGGGCCAAAAAGGCAGGAAATTTGAAATCTGGGTGTGGGAAAGAGAAATACGTATTATCCATCCACTAAACACACTGTCAAGAACACAAGAGAAGAGATAGTAACACAGAAAAAAAACAATGAAATAATTTCTTACTTTTGTCAATAACATCATTTATGTGGGAGCACTGAAAAACCACTGACTTTGCAGTTAAAGTTTCTTTACCTAATGTGTTAGTCTAAGAATAGAATAGGATAGAATGAAATAAAAGGTAGGAGGGGAAGTGCCTTCTAGGAAGTATTCAGGATGAAGTCATCAGATTTGGCAGGGTTATGAGAGATTAATAAAATCTGAAATATTTGTTTCATTTACATGAAAATTCACTAGTCATTAATTACTACCAACACAGACAAAAAGAGCATCTATAAAATATAAGGGCAATGTTGAAAGCTGGAATGGGTATCCTAGCACAGGGTATATTTTCTTTTGCTTTTAACTTGGAAAAGATTTTATTAAATAAATGACATTTTCTTAGAACATCAAAATAACTTGGACAATATTGGAGATAATTAACAGAAACTGATGGAGGGGTGCACTGAGCTATGTACCTGCACCAGCAGACTACCACAATAAGCCAAAGGAGATGAAAAAAGAGTCAGAAGAGATGCCAAAGCCATGGGAGGGAGAAAAATATTGGGTAAGACACAATGGAACAGTGAAAACTTAACCCCCACCCCAAACCCCAAGCATATTTAGGAAATATGCACCAAGAAGTAAACAAGTATAATGATCAAATTTTAGTAGTATTACACTAAACTACTTTAAACTGTGATCTACTTGTATTCTCATTTCAAAAGGGAGAGGGTCTTAGAGGCTGACACAGTGGCAATGACATGCCCACAGGAGCCTTCTAAGGTTCCAAAGCACTGAATCACCATAATCAAACAGTTACTCCCATATTCTTTCTATCCTACATAAGCATTCCTGCCCTCCCACCCCCTACTTTAACCACTCTCCCTAATGCCTTGTCTGGCTGTTTTTTTCAGTGATCAAAAAATGTTCATGTGACTTGGCCAACAATGTCAGAAAATCAAGATGCAGACAAAACTCAAATGTTCCTAGCCAAAACAAGTACCAATTCTTGGGCTTCAGTCTACCCAAAGACCTATTGGCTCAGAATGAAAATGATGCAAGTGATCAGAAGTCTTTCTGACCTAGTCCAGACCAGATTGGCTGCTTAGAAAAGAGCAGGAATTAGAGGATGACCCCAAGACACAGTAGCAGAAGTCAAGAACTGCAAATCCTTGGGGATCAGTGGCTATACACAACCAGAGTGTTCTCGCTTATGGCCCTACAAGTTAAAGGAGTCATTTCTGGGGAATCCAGTGTTACTTTGTTGCATATTACAAACAGAAACTGAACCTCAAGTGAAGATCAACAGCCTTTCCAAGCAGTACAGCAAAGATCACATTCTACTTTTCCCCTTTTTACTCTGCAATCAGAAAAAGTTTAACTCCCAGTAATGAACCTCAATTTGTTTGGCTTTTAAGTTGTGTATTTTGGCAGCTAGACTAAATCTAGGAATATGGCCTTTTATGGTTCTTGCTTTTAAACTTCCAAACCTAAAATGCTGAATCCAAATAAAAATCAAGGTTGGAGGTCAGCCACTTGTTTCACCCTGGGCCAGGATAGGGGAAAACAGAGATACGTGGAAGGGAGAAATGCAAATCTTGTGGCAACTGGAATCATCCCTGCCAAAGCAGCAATTTTACCCCTCACAGTGAATACCTACAAAATAAGAAATCTTAATGCTGTGAGTTAACAATACTGTCATCTGATTGTGTCAGATAGATTCAAGATGCACAAAAACAGCAACTGAAGAGATACCTTACCATTTAACTCCAAATATATATATTTTCATTCACTCACAGCTCAGTGACTCTGGTTACTTTTAGAGCTCTGGGGCACAGAAAGAGAATTCTGGGCCATCTACATTTCTACCACTGATAGATATAGAAGTTCTAACCTTTACGATTATGCAAGTCCAAGAGAAGAAGAGGGACCATATCAGGGAAGCTGACTTGAATACAAAGTTTTCATATGATTTGTTCCTGCTTTCATCTTTCTAGGGGGTACACTCTTCTTATCCTTCTTTGTGTAAGAAATATGTGAGGGGCAAAGTGTTCTGGGGCTCTCTCCTCCTGAAAACTGTGGGTTCTCTTAAATTGGGCAGACTATGACTAGTCTGAGACTGTTTTCAGTTGCTCATGATATGGTCATTGTAAGTGGTCAGTTAGCAAACAGCCTTCTGGTTGTCTGGGAAAAAAACCAAACAAACAAGAAATCACCAAGAACCTGCTGTGGGTCAATGTGCATGGAGTTTTTCCAAAAAAGAGAGAAACCTGCTAAATGTCTAGTCAGTTATATTCCAGTAGAAATGGTACTTCTTGGGCAAGATATAATAAAGCCCAGATAAAGACACAGGAGGCTGGAAGCCCCAAGAAATATATGAGGCTTAAAGCCTCAGTTTCTGAATAAAGGTACAGTGCTAATTTGTTGTAAGCCATGTTTCCATCCCTGTAGTTGGCTGCCCAAGGAGAGAAACTGGAAATGCAAGGTTGTCTCAAGATTATCTCCAGCAAGGAGGGACAGCATTTTTATCCTGAGAAGATCCTGGCCACAAAGGGGACTGAGAATCTTTTATAGAATATTTTTCAAGGCCCAGGCCAAAGTCCTTTGAAGTCCTCCTTGCAAAGCAAATGAAAAGATCTGGTAGTCAAAATGTCAATGAACAAATTAAACAGTCTAGGCATGTAAAATCAAATTGTGAAATTTCCTCAAATTTCCTTACACCATCTTTCCAATGCAAACTGTCCTTCATTCAGGGATTCTTGTCAAACAGATCTTACCTGAAGCCAATTTGACCCTGGAGTTCCAAGACAGATTTTCTCCAAATGGGCAGAATTTCAAATCACCCCACCCCCTCTTTCTCTTCAAACCTTTATAAAGAAATACTCAATTCTTCCCAATCCCATTCCAACCTCTTGTTTATACCATATGAGACATGAGGGCTCTGTTCAAGATTAAGCTTGTTACAACCCAAATGTTTGTTGTTCTGAACAGGCAATCTCTGGAAAGTACTTTGTGTTGATTTAGAGTAGTCCATCTTCTCATAATTATGATGGGCTGTGACTTAGTAAAGATTTTAGACTTAAAGCATGATCTTTTGAAACTCACCACTCCATAGCAGTGGAAGTGTTTCTGGTAAGTTCAGTAAATCCTCTGGGACATCACCATGTATGTATGTATATGTATATACATACATACACACACATGTATAAAATATGTATAGATAAATAGATCTGTCTCTTTATATAAAGGGTATGTGTATGCATATAGATACACACATTCATATATACAACCACACACACTCACACTCACATGCAGAGTGTTTTGAGTCTCTTTCATACTGAGTTTCATTACATCGATTCCCACCCATTTCAGGATATGTGCAGTAGAGAGTAGGTGAACTGCACCACATCTATTTTACAAACAATGGGCTAGTTGAGAGGCAGGAAAAATCTGCCTAGTACTTTCCCAAATCACTTGAATCTCCCAGTACCAAGGCCACTGGTAGTGTGTGTGTGTGTGTGTGTGTGTGTGTGTGTGTGTATGTGTATAAAATAAAAAATAAAATAACCACTATTATCCAGTTCCCAAAAAAACATCTACTTATCTGATTGTCAGGCCAGAGTTAGAGATGGTGTACAAAATCCTGGGGTAGCTGAATTGGCAGTAAGAGTAAAGAGGAGATGGATACTAATTATACATCAAAACCATATCAATTCACAGAGGAAAAAAACAAAGAAGACACAGAAATCTGTCCCCTAAACCCCAAAGATGTACCAGATAAGTCTTCAAATAAGTATCATGATACTCAAAATACTAAACCTAGAAATTTTTATAGGACTTATAGGATAACATCCATTTTTGGACAGTTACTGCCTTACTAGATTTCTAGAGGAAATAGAATATAGGTACTATATGTTGAATTTGAGAACTGCAACTAGTCTTCACATTTTTCATCTTTAACCAGAAATTCCACAGATCTTAACTCTGGAGCCCCAAAAAAGATAAAGAAGGGGAAAGATGGAACAGTAAGACATCCCATCAAAATTAAAGATAAATTTAGATGAGCACTTACATCCTACTCTAACTTGGGCCTACTATCAGAAAAGTACAGTTTTTCCTTCTTCCTGACTGGTGAAGCCATCTTCAGTGTTGTCATTCCTCTTTTTGTTGTGCCACAGTTTCTAACTTTTGTTCTTGTGAGCTGTTCTCATTCTTCACAGGGAGGCAAAGATTACCATCATTACACATGTTGCTGACTCTGGATAAGGCACATTGTGATGCAGCTGGAAGATGACCACTCTCCTCTTCTTTGGTCAATGTGCTGTTGTTTCCATTCACTTGGGAGCCAGAGTGCCCTTGATGATGCTCCAGGGATTTAGAAATTCCATCTGAAGAGCCCTGTCAAAAGCAGAGACAGATACTCAATAGAAATGATAATCCTAAACTGGTTGGCCCTTCCAAAACTCATTCACTCACTCACTCTTTTTTTAATAAAGAAAATCTTTACTCAGTCCTTTAGGATAAGCAAAAAGAAACTGGAAGATACACTTTTATCCATCACCAATGTCTATATGAGTAACAGTAACTGAAACTTTTTCAGTGAAAAGAAAATAATCTAATTTTCTTTGACTCTCTACATAATCTGACTATAGTTAACTGTTTCTCATATGCTCAAGATTACTCTGTCTCATCATTTGACCTATTCATAGTATATCATCCTTTAGGCACAAGAGAAAAAAACAGAAAAATGCAAAGGATGCTATCACAATATACTCTCAAAAAATACATGGAGGTGGTGAAAGTTACTTATAATTTATAAACGATGATGTTCATTAGTTTAGAAAAAATGAATGACTTTTTTTACTTTTTCATTTTATAAGGCCAACTTTAGATAAATCTAGACAGTACAAGGAACTCATAAATCCTAAATGTTTCACAATCAAAATGGTTGCTATTTGACTCCAAACCAAAAGAGAATGAAGCATAAATCCTTGGCTCTCCTTTAAAGAAAATGGCAGGTTACCATTCTTAACCAGACTTTCGTTTGACCACTAGTAGGGGAAAGACTAGATTTGTGCACCACTGAGTAAAAACACTCTTAGAAAAGGCAACTTCACAGAAGTTACTGGCTGAGTAAATTCATTTGAATGCTATGTTTTGAGGCAACAAACTCACTGTTACAGATTGGGAAAGGCAGTAGGAAAGTCAAGGGGAAACTACAGAATGGAAAAGGGTCAGGAAAAAGAAAAAGACATTCACAGGAAAACTTAGAAATTAAATTTTGAGCTCCAAACTGAAGACTCATGGAAAGTCTGATGGAGTTGTGCACTCAAAGCAGCAAATGAGAATATTACCAGTTTTCTGACTTTAGGCAAAAGAATACATGGGAAAGAACTGGAAAAAGATGAGGAAGTAAGACAAGAAAAAACTCATCTACATTAATGTTGTACTAAACAAATTCGTCATACATTCTGAGTAGATGAATATTTGTAGCTGACATTAAGAATAGTGTTATATATTGTCAATAATATTACTAGAAACATAGGCTATAATTAATCAGAAATGTAATATGGAATGGGCCTTTGGTAACTTTAGGCTCTTTAAATTATTGAAGACAGCACAGTTATTGAATTTATCTCATGACAGTACCTATAAATTAGGTAAAAAAAAACTATACATGTAAGACATAAAACTGAGTCTAGCTGCCTTATTAAGTCGGTTCTTCTACCCTTGTCTAGAGACCTCTTGAAAAACAGAATTGGCCAGAATATTTATAATCCTCACTGTATTAAAAACCCTGGCCATGCATAGTAGTGCATGCATGTAATCTCAGCACCTGGAAGACTGAGGAAGGGGGACTGCTGAGTTCAAGGCCAACCTGAACTACATAAGGGAGACTTTGTCTCAAAATGAAAACAAACCCTGATTTTGTTATCTAAATAAGAATGACTGCAATGCTCATTATTTGATCCTTTCAGAAGTGTTCTTGTTCATTGGAGATGTCCAAATCTTGCTTTTGAATTCAGTACAAAGCAACAGCCTTAATAAGGTATTACTATTTCAATAAGAAAGTATAAAACTTTATTTTTCATCTGATTGGTTTCATGTGTTAATGTTTCTACAGGTACTAATGAAATTAAAAAACAGAAAAAAAAAAATCCTTTTGGAATTTTGATTTAAAAAGCAGTCAGTGGCCTTGATAGGCCATTTGCCCTCAGTGGTTCTTACTAGTACATAGTATATTAGAGAAACATAAAAGGAAATAACAAAATCAACCAAACCAAACCAAAACCCAAAGCTTTTCCTGAGAGGTTTTTACTGAATTCGTAAGTGAGCACTAGGAAAGCTATAAGAATTTTTATTAGGTAAGGCTGGTTGACTAATCTAAAATAGCTGAATTAGGTACAGTGGGCTAGTACACCACTCTTTCTACCCATTCAGATTGCCTAGAGTATGAGGCCTTTGAGGGGTATAGCTAGGGTTGAAACTCTACTTTAAGATTATTTTGGCCTTAAATGAAAATATAGGAAAAAAGATACTAGTGTAGTGAGAGAAGAACAAAAATAATAAAATCTGAGAAATCTTAATACAAACTCAAAATGTCACTACTTTTATTCTAAATCTCAACAAACCTAATATTTCTAAATACTTTGCCCATAACAGAATTAGTAATTCTAACTATCAAGGTAAACCAACTGCTTATAAAACTTAGAAATTGTCTGACATATCTAAAGAAGAAATAAGATCTGCCCAAGTTTGCCCACAAAATGTTACAGGCCAATAATTTTGTCTTTTACAGTTACGTAGAAAAATGAACGGTTTCAAGACTGTCAAACAAAACAAAAAGTTTCCTTTCTTCTCCCAGTGAAATATCTAAATTTTAAATTAAGAGAGTTCATTTTTTAAAAATCCAAAAAATGAACATGTAAGTGTGGAAAAAAACATGTGAGTGTAGAAGATATATGCATCAACTGAAAAAAATCTCACCTTCATTCACTGCTTCATCCAAATCCATCATTTTATCACAACAGCTGTGCTCATGTGAAGAAATCCTTAAAATATACCATATATATTTTAAATTTAAGTAAAAAGTTTAGATCCCAAGCCAATATGTATATATCAAATCCTTGACCAGCCAGGTCTATAGGGCACAAACTCAATGTGAAATAATACATAAACACAGTACCTTGACTTGGCAAGTTAAGTAATTGCTGCTCAGAAGAGTGTTCTGATTGGACCCTCCTATTGGTAGGCCACGGCAGGACTGTATTACCCTTTACCCACCTCCTATTTGTTTCAATTAATATTATGGACACAAAACTTAGCTTGAGGCCGTCATGACCTCAGCAGGGGTTAAGGGTTAGAAATAAAAGAAATGAAAAAATTATAAACTTCTGCTTTTACCCAACCATAGCAATACAGAAACTTATTACATTAACAATACTTTCTGATTTAGTAGTATAATCCAGAACTGAACTGAAAAGGCAAATACAGGGATAGAGAGTGACTACAAAAAACAATTTATAGTGAATGTTTTATATACTCAGGCATCAGAATATGTGAAGCATAACTAAACAAAAAAATTTCTTCCTTACTCTTTTCAACAGTTTCATTAGGAAGCTTTTTAAAAATCCTTTTTAGGTATTAGGGATTAGATTTAGGGTTTTTGTACTGAACTACATCTTCTAGGTTTAGTTTTTATTTTGAGAAATGGTCTCACTGAGTCAGTCAGGCTGGGCTCCAAACTGGGATTCTTCTGCCTCAGCCTCTTAAAGTGCTGGGGTACCGGTGTATGCAACCACACCTAGTTATAAAGAAGATTCATTTCTTGAACAATTTTTCATTACTGAGGACCAAACTGAGGGCTTCACGCTTTATAGGTAAGTGCTCTACCACTAAGCTAAATAATTAAGTCCGAGAAGACATTTTTTAAATGCTAGAAATCAAAGTCTATGAAAACTGACTTAAAGGTATTTACTATCTATTTATGTTAATACTTCTGATAAACTATCCTTAATACTCAGTTTGTATTTACCAAATCTCTGAAAGCAACAGGCTGGGGGGGGGGGCAAAAAAAAAAAAAAAAAGAAAGCCACAGGCTCTAGGATGCAACAATTTCAATTATCCTTTTAGGTTTTGAGAGTAAAACAAAAACACATAATGAAACAATGTATCTCTGTTCATTTTAAGTTCAAATGAACTGTTACAGTTTTAAAACATGGTTGATTATCCTATAATTTCAGCAAGTTTAACTTACAAAGTACAACCCCAAATTTCCAACTATAATCACGAGTTCTGACAATATATGAATTGTGAACTGTCACTGCTGGCAAGTTACTACATAATTTATTAAGAAAGTAACTGTCATATACATCAAATGAAAAAATGTTAACAATAGATCATACCCTGATTATACTAAGAAAATGCAGAAGATTCTTGCCATGTAAATAGGGTACTCAAACTTTCAATGTAGTAAGGAAAATAAAATCTACATATGAAGCTAGTAATCCAGGAAGCAACAAACTTCAAAAAATAGCTTTGAGGAAATTTAGTTTCTTACACATTTTGAAATTAAGTAATCTGTCACTGTCCCTATCTAAGCACCATGGAAATCTGACAAACACCAGGGATTTTTTTCTGGTTTAGTCGATACAATGATGACAGTTAGGGAGACTTGTAAGTAAGAATTATGCACTGGGCATGTAGTAATACTAAAATACAAGGGAAAGTTTATTAAGATCATACAATTAATCAGAGTGTATCTTTAATCTCTCTTTTTAAAGCCCAGGATCCAAGGCATTTCGTTCTTAAAATAAATTTCATTCACAGAACAGAAAGAAATTTATCTGAATTGCTTGTAGATACTGATATTTTAATTTAGATACAGTAGATACTGATATTTTAATTTAGATACTGTAGATACTGATGTTTTAGTTTCCACACTCTGTGCTGCCACAATATTTTTGCGTTTTGCATCTTTGGTTCCAATGTAGGAACAAGCAGTAGCACATGGCCAGGGAGATTTTTGGCTATAATCATATCCCTTGAATTTCCCATCTGTCTTAAATTCATCATCCAAAAATTTCTCCTGATGAGATGTAGGCAGTAATGTTGGTGAAGGTGCAAAAGGAGATAGAAAGATAACCTTTCTTCCTTCTAGTTGGGCCATTATTTCCTTTTGTATGCAGTGTAGCTTATCTAGACTAGAATGGGACTGGGGAGGAGGAGGAAGACGAAGCAGGCTACAAGGAGGCTCTTTGGGGTACGCAGGTCTGATCTGAGCTGGATGAAGAGGTACTAGATAGTAACCTTCCACCTGCTGGTATCCTTCTCTAGATTCCAGTATATAAGATAGTACTGCTGTGGGCGGAATCTCAACGGGTATAGGACTTTTTCTG